TTTCCCAGGCAACTGGGGTTTAGTTCATAAAGTCTTTGCCTACACCTATGTCTTTGAGAGTTCTACCTATTCTGTCTTCCAGCAGATTTAGTGTTTATCTTTAACATTTAGAACTTTAATCAACTTTTATTTTTGTTTAGTGGATAGTAAAAGATATGGGTCTAGTCTCAATCTTCAGCATATAAGGAGCCAGTTTTTCCAGCACCATGTATTACAGAGGCTGTATCTTTTTTAATGTATTTGGTATAGGGTCTCACTACACAGCTGGGACTCATAGTGATCCTATTTTCAGCCTCCCCAATGCTGGGATTATAGGCATGTGTCACCAAACCTGGACTCATTCCCTAGCTCAGCATGCCCAGGGGTGGGGCATGCCCAGTGGCATGTGGTACCCAGGATCGAACCCTGGTCCCTGTGCTTGCCTAAGCAGCCACTCATTCCACTGTGCTATCTTACCAGCCCTGAGGCTGTCTTTTTTCCAGTCAATGTATTGGGCCCTTTCGTCAAAGATAAGACAGATGAGTGTATTTGAAGTTGTTTCTGCATCTTTCAATCTGTTCCATCTATCCTTAGATCTGTTTTTTTTCAAATTTTTAATTTAATTTTGGATACAAGGTCTTGTTTCACAGTTCAGACTCATAGTGACTCTCGTTTCAGCCTCCCTAGGGCTGGAATTACAAACATGTGCCACCATGCCTGGTTCCAGTGCCGGCACGGCATGTGGTTCTGGTAATTGAACTCGGGACCTTGTGCTGTCAGGCAGTCACTTATGCAGCACAATGATCTCTCTGGCCCAGATTTTTTTTCTTTTGCCGGTGCCATGCTGTTTTGCTCACAGTAACTTTGTAATATAATTCCAAGTCACACATTGTGATCCTTCTGGACTTGCCTTTGTTGCTCAGAATTGCTTTAGCTACTCTAAGTCGCTTCTGGTTCCAAATGAACTTAGGATGGTTTTCTCTAATTCTGTGAAATATGCTACCGGCATTTTGATGAAGGTTGCATTAAATCTGTATAACAATTTTGAGTGTAGCTATTTTCACTATATTGGTTTTACCTACTTAAACCAAGGGATATCTTTCCATTTTGTGGTATCTTCTTCAATTTCCTTTTTCAGAGTAATGTAGTTTCCACTGTAGGGGTCTTTTACTTTCTTTATTATATTGATTGATAGGTAATTCATTTTTGGGATGCTTTTGTGAAAGGTGTTTTTACCCTAATTTCTGAGTTTGATGTATATAATATATATATATGAAGGCTACTGATTTTGGAGTGTTGTGTATCTAGCTCCACTACTGAATTTGGTTATTAAATTTAGAAGTCTTTAAAAAAAAAATGGGGCCAGGGAGATGGCGCGGTAGAATAAGCGCTTCCCTGGCAAGCGCAAGGGCCTGAGTTCAATCCCCGGTTCTGCAAAAAAAAAAAAAAAAAAAAAAAAAAATCTTATGGTGTAGTTTTTGTGGTTTTCTATGTAGAGTATCATGTCATCCACAAATAATGATAATATAACTTTTTCTTTTCCTATCTTTGTTCTTT